TTTCTGAGGGTTTTAGGGCAAGGAAATGTCCGCCGCGCTGCCCTAATGCGTGTTGACGAAAATTGCAATTACAAATTTCATTCGTGCTGTCGGGAATCAAATGCGGGAAAAATTTACAGCGAATGCCTTGAAACTTGAACACTTAATAGCTCGTGACGCCTACCGGACAAAGCTACAGCACAATGTAATTGAAGATGCGTAACCGCGACATAATTCTCAGTGATGCGCAAGCATAACAGGCAGTATGTCACTTATATAATTGTCATCTCTGCAGTCTATTAATCTTTGCACTTTTATAAGTAATACAGAACGTAGTTGCTAGACGGTGTTGACGTCAGCTAAAATCTCTGCGAGCGCCGTTTCGTCTAGGTCATTCAGCCTAGTTAAAGCCATAAGTTTTATCTACAACATTGACATTTAACCGGTTCAGTGCGGATGGCACGCCTGGCGTTTTTGTGGCGTATGACACGCGAGTCGTGTCTTTTTTTAAATCGTTATAACTCGCTCAAATTGCGTTTTTGTTTATTTTTTTTATTTTGTTTCCTATATTTATTTATTTTTTTATTATTAAGACAGCTTCGTTTCTGGATAATTTGAAAATTTGAAATTTTTAGGGGTTGGCAACCTTTTTTTAACGTGTACATACTACTCTTTTTACTTTGTGGGTTTTAAATCATGTTGTGGAAAAATAGTCTAATAAGTAACAAATAATAGCACTCATTGCCGATCGCTCACAAACTCAAGTTGTAAATAAATTTCTGGAAAACAAGTCTCCTGTTAAAAAAAAACAATGAGTTTGTCTTATTGTTTAATTTTGCTTAGAATGATTGAATTGTCGCCTTATGACTATCATATGGCCGAATATATCTACGAAGTACCAAGTGCTCTTGTGATATGGTATAAGGTTTATTTTTGCTTAAAACCGTTCATGCATAAAAAAGTTTAGTAATAAATAGTCCTTGTCAATCCGCCGCCGTTTTTTTCCTTTTGAAAACACTTTTCAGATCTTACTTTTACATTTATATAACATTAAATAATATTTAACATTTGTAAATATCACTGAATCATAAACCTTATTTTTTTCCAAATTAAGGTTCTAGATTGTTTGATATTTACAAATGTTATTATTAGGTGAAAATTTAATTTAATAAAAACCAAAGTTTTCCACTAAAAACAAGTATCCTTCCGTTTGTAACTGATATTTGATGTCAACTAAACTTAATTAGGTCTAAACAAGTGAAAAAAGCGTGAAAAAAGCATAAAAAAAGAAAATTATTTTTACACATGGCTGATGGCACAATAGGAGTGTCATCAACTTCTGTGGCATTCCTGGCGTGTCATGAAATATTTGTTCGCCGCCACAGCTAAAAGTTGTCGAAAATCGGTGCTGCAACGGATCGGTTAAAATTAATGTTACCTAAGATGTCACAATAGACTATGTTTGCTAAAATACTAAAAGTATTTTAGCAAACATAGTATCTACAAAATACTATAAGATACCAAACAAAAGGTATTTAGATACAAGATACGAAAAGAATTTTAAGTTTTATAGTTACAAGCTGTAATCACGTATTTTGTATCTTGTACCTGTATTTCTTGTATCTTAGATAAGTTACATCTCTGGTCCCTTGTGCAACCAACACTGCGTTTTATCAGTACAGTTCAACCGTACAGGTAATAAGCGTGTACTAACCTTTACTTTCTTGCTTTATTGTAACAAAAATAACGCGTAGGACTAAGTACATAATGGAGCGCTTCAAAATAAGACTTCTGATTACCTCTTTTTTCAAGGCTTGGCTTAAATGTAGCAAGGATTCGTTCGGTAAACTACTATAAATTTTTAATAAATAAGTAATAATCGTGTGAATTGTGCTGGCGTTTCATCCTCCTTCTATATAAGACAGCCAACTGTTAATCCACGACTTTCTTGTGCCTGATTTTGCATTGAATTCTCTCATTTAGTGAAACAGAATTTCTTAGAAAACATAAATGCGCATATGATACAGAAAAAAAAAACAAATAATTGTCCATAACATATAATTAAAGGCGGTCTTATGTTAGTTAGACTTAATGTTACACAAACTAATGTCAATACTAGCAAAAAAAGCAATGATATTTCCTTAATTAATTTTAACTTATTTACAAAACATACTTTTATTTACTTAAAATATAAATTTATTTACATAAAATAAAATTAAGATCCATTTATAAAACGAACAAATCATAACTAGCTTACATAGTACAATTAATTTGCAGAAGTCAAATCTATATTATAATGAAAATTTAGGTAATATGTAATGCTACCTAAATTGTAACATGCATGTTTGTAATCATTATACAAAACAAATAAAAAAACAACAGTGTCACATGCTCTCAAAGACCATAATATTTAAATTACAAAATAGGGAACAATACCACCTTGCATAATCAATGAAGGTAAACAAATCTGCGGAAAATATTATTTTACATCATGGTAGGTGGGTAGTCAAGATTTAATGCCTTCTTTGTAGGAGACATTTTATTTAGGATATATGGTTGTAGTCAAATAAAAACTTTAGTATGTTGTTGCTGCTGAAAAGACGAGGTTTCTATACAGTAGTGAAATATTTCGGTATATATATAAATATTTTATAAATGCAATTGACATTACTTTTTAGTTTTAGTCCTCAAATTTAATAGAATGAACTCCTGTGTCAATAGCACCGCCACGGTAAGAACCCCTTTTCTTCTTGGTCTTCTCATGTTTGAAAGACTTGCCACGTGTATGTTTCAAGTCTAGGTTAGCACGTTCACCCCACGACCCACGAGCTCCACTCTTGAAATAAAGATATTTATTGATTACACATTACATATACATACCTATCTAAATTATTTTAAGTAAAGGTTATTTTGGGAAATGTTTACTTTTAATGGTTTAAGATCTTATATTCCTGTATAGTCCCAAATATATATGTATATAAAATTATATATATATACAGGGTTATTTTTCAAAGATAAAAACGATAAAAAAGATAAAAACTAATAAATAAGGTTTCTACTTTTATTTGAAATTATCCCAAATTAAATGTGATTTTTTTGGCAACAACTACGCGTACGCGCGCTCCTGCGTGTGCGATTCAATTCACAAATTTTTTTGGCCTACTTTTTACTCTCTTAGTGACACGTAAACTACTATTGCGCAAGTTAATAAATACACGACGCGATTTTCTTTATGATTCCAATTTTACCTTCACACTTTTAACGGGCTTAGATCGTCTTAATAAATAAAATAAAATTTTGCTTAATTACGACGTAGCCGATGAACTGTCATTATTATTCCGTGTTTAAAATTGGAATAATTAATATTGGTACCTCAAAATGGAATCCGTATTTGTTACAATTATTTAACTAACTAATTAGTAACTATGCTTGAACACTTTTAACTTCCGTGAATGCAGCAATACTTTTGCTGGGGCGATCTTCATAACTTTTTGCCACTTTCACGTAAACACGACTATTGTAATTACTATTTCAATCCAGAGATAAAAGTGTAACGATGAAAGGTCCGCGGCGAGTTTGCAGGCCATAGTATAGTGCCTCCATGCGCAATCCACCTACCTATATTCACTAATTAAATTATTACTCACTGCACTTGAATAGTTTGATTAGCTGTCAATCGTTCTTCGATTAGTACACGTTAAATATTTGCCGCGGTAAACTCACTTTCATATTATAATCTTTGCGCACCACGTAAATCTTCATTGCTTAAAATGTAACTCCCTCACCAATTTATATTATTCGCGGTTCGAATGTTTTCGTTTCGTCATTGGTATTTGTTACCAATAACAAAGTAACGAAGCGATACTCTACCTACGAGAACTTCAAAATAGCACACTCGTATTGCTGATTCAACTCTGGCAGCAGTCGGCAGTCAGCTAACTAGCGGTGTAACGGTTAACAGAAGGGTAGGGCCCATGAAGAATACCTTTATATAAACCGAAAGCACGGAATAAATAACATTACTACGTACAGAACTTTCACTTTTTTTCTTCATAATTATTAGTAGTTCAATAAATTACGTGCGCAAGCTAAATTAAATTTTATCGCTGCGCGCGAGTGTTCTTTGCATCTTTTCCCCTTCCTACGCCACGGACGATATTTCGTGGTTACCCACGGCTTCCAACAAATAGTAAAAAATACAGTACGTGTATTATTATGATTATTACTACTTTTCATTATTTATTTAATTTACAACTGGTTGACTTTAATATAATGTTTTATATTTTTTTAGTCTAAAATAACGGTTATTAAATTTAAGACTGGTAAAAGCTCTAAATATGATGTTTTTAAGTAAATACTGGGAGGGACGTAATTGACACGGAGTAATAAAATTAATATACATGTTAATAATTTTAGTAAATTATTTGCTGGTTTTTTCATTACTATGTTTTTTAAAATTGTTAAAGAATGTATTCTCAATAATAAACATATTAGTACAGATAAATTGCACTAAAACTTGTACAACTATTTTATTCCATAACTTAATATATTAAATAATAAACAAAAATAATTATACAAGTGTAGACAAAAAAATCAATTTACATACAGTGTTAAAAACTTTGAAATTCACTAGTACGTGACTCGCCTAAAACGCGCTAGCCCTGACAGCGTATGTAACTTGAGGTTCCGCGCTATTTGTAGGTATTTATATCACGCAGGTAGCAAGAGTGACGAAAGGAAGACGCTTGACAAGGTACATAAATTTGTAACCTAACTACCCTTACGAATGTGTGCATGTGTAGTAAAATAGTAGGCATTAGATATATTTTTGAATGACAATCAGTAAAAATAATGCATTAACCACGCATTCTGAATTTAAAAGATTAAAAGGACAGTTTCAGATTTTTTTCACTGCAACTTTGGGCATATATTGCAAAATAACCCTGTATATTTAAAAATATTTTGGAAAATTATACATTATAATTTCTAAAAGTAAATAAAAAATCAAATATCTTACCTAATTAATCGAACACTATTTTTTTATTCTGTGAATTATCCCCTCCTTCAAAACTTTTTCTGTCATTAAATCCGCCCTTATTAAATCCTCCTTTATCCCCACCCCAAGAATGGCGATCACCACGACCGCCGCGGTTACCCCATCCACCCCTTTCACCACCCCGACCTCCTCTGCCTCCTCTATCGTTAAATCCACCCCTTCCACCTCTATCGCCAAATCCTCCCCTTCCACCTCCTCTATTGCCAAATCCTCCCCTTCCACCTCTATCGCCAAATCCTCCCCTTCCACCTCTAAAGCCTCCTCTACCCCCCCTATCTTTAAAACCACCACGACCTCCCCTGTCATTAAACCCTCCCCTGCCACGATTAAACCCGCCTTGCCCCCGATCTTGCCAACTGCCTGATTTGTTATTTTCGGATTCGTCATCTTCTTCCTCACCATTTTGGTCCTCGCCCTCCTGATTGAGAGATAAAATTATGAATACCAAGACAACTCAATGTTATGTCTAAGTAGCAATATAAAAGTAAATGCCCGAAATTATGAGCCACTGAGCCATAGTTTATTCCTATCCAATTGTGAAACATGGAGTTGCCTTGGCTTCAAAAATTTTAGGGCATTTACCTTAGCTTCAAATGAATTATCCTTAAGTCTAGGGTCCACTTCTACTTTTTCAGGTACAACGCGTCTGAATGGAGTGGGTTTAGTATTTGCTTCATTATCCTTTTCAGAGGGTGTAGAAACTACTTTTGAACCCTAAAATCATTGAATGAAAAAACTATAATAAGGTGGAGCAAATACTCTGGATTACTGGTAATTTGATTTTGTGGGCGACATAAATTAATTCACCTTACCAGAATTTGGCTGGATAAATTATAATATAAAATTAATGTTTTTTTTTAATTTGTATTGTTTGAATTATTATGTATTGGAATGAATTCATTATACTATACAAGATTTTTTTTTAAATACATGCCTTATAATTGCATAACCTTATATCATGATACGTTATTACTTAAAAAAAGAATAGGTAATGACGCATGCCTCAATGTATGTTGAACAAGAGTTGGGTACATGATTTTAACAATATTACAACTGTCTTAAACCTTGTAAAGTAAGAAATATGTGATTAATAATATATATCTTTACAAGTCCATTACTGAACAAAGGCCTCCTTGTAAATTGCCACAAAGCATGATCTTGTGCCACCTCTATTCATCACCTGCACTGACTCACTATGCAGGAGCATAGTGAGTCAGTCAACAGATGTTCGCCCAACATTGCACTAGCCAGTATGAGGCTATCACTTGAGGACCTTTCTTTTCCATAGATTAGGTTTTTCAAGGCATATGGCAGGCCTATTGCCACTTCAGCCTACTGATCCATTGGACATGTCAGTTACTCATCTTTTTTCTGCAGATATCGTCACTACAGATCGTATCACACAGGGTAACTACTTCCTCTTTATAGTGAGTGACTTTAAGCTTCCTCATACAACCAGCATTAAAGGAAAATGTTTTGTCCTCATACAACCAGCATTAACGGAAAATGTTTTGGTTTTGTTGGTCGTCAAACAACAGGCAACATGCACTGGTTGTTTTTCGCAATTTCCCGAATGCGGTCCAGAGGAGTTGAATTTGTAGTTAGCCTCTTGGTCAAAGTTGGACTTACCTAATCAGACATTTGTCCCATGTATATATGCCTATCAACATCTTTGAGTAGTTTTCCTAAAAACGACCAGTATAGGGATGTGACAAATATTAGATATGATTGTTATAATAACACAAATCTATATATATATATATGTGTGTAAGCAGACAAGTAATAATAAGGAAAACCATCTTATATTTCTTGTTATGAGATAACTTTTCATACATGATAAACTATGATGGAAATCTGAAGCTAGTCTATATGTTAATTATCTTAACAAACTTACCTTTACAAAGTTACTATATGGTTTCTTGGCTGGAGTTGGATCACCACCAGATGCTTTTCGTTTTTTACCACTTTGGAAACCATTTTGTGCAACCTGTAATAAATTGTTATTATTGTTTAAAGAGTAACAGAAGACAGTACTACAAACACTGTTGCATCATCTTGCTTACTTATTACATTATTGGTGATTGATAAATGGTTTTACAAATTGTACCCACATTTTTATGTCTACTCAATCTAAAGGTGTACAACGACGTCGTGTAATAGCAGTATTTTGCTTTAGTGAAAGAATATCACTGTTTGTCATTACAGCCAATGAATTCTGATGACATTTTATCGCTATAACAGATGTTGCTTAATTGGCGTTGTTAGGCGGTTTGTTAACATGATCAATGATAACCAGACTAACAGTCCTCCTTAATCAAGTATTGGTCAAAACGTGCGATGACAGGGGGAATCTAGTATGAACTATTGTAAGTCCCTTCGGTGGCATGCCGTGTACTAGACTGGAAGATATTGAGATTGTAGCACTAGCTTAGAATAAGTAAAATAAGGTTCTGAGAAATGAGAAGATGTGGTCAGACCACTTCTACATCCAGTGTGAGGTCTCCACTTGTACAGAACCTTGGGTGCCATCGGCCACGTGTGATTGACTCCTCCTCCTGGGGCAGGAGGCGGGGGGGGGGGGGGGGGGGGGGTGAATACGAAGGGAGAAAGCAATTCGAGCAGGCAGGTGTACTGGTGATCTCGAGAGATTGTGTAAGGTTACTTCCTAATACACTACAAATTGTAAGAACCTGGCATCAACAACAACACAATCTCGAAATAAACCACAAAAAAATAAAAACGATGACAAAATTGCTCATATAAAAAGCCTCACTCTAAGCTGTAGTATTTTAAAAATACCAATATAAAAACAGTTGACTCATTATAATTTAAAATTAAAAATTTTGTACAGCCGACTTCAATATAAGTTATTAAGAATAACTCAAAAACTATTGGTCTGACCTTGATCAAATTCATATGGGACCATACGAGAAGTATCAGCTTTCATATAAAAAAGTATCATCGAAATCGGTTCACCCAGTAAATAGTTATGAGGTAACACACATAAAATAAAAAACATACGTGTCGAATTGAGTATCGTCTCCTTTTTGGAAGTCGGCAGAAAACTACTTCGTTTACACATTGATATGCATTTGAATTGGAAAACCCACATAATATATATTAAATCTTAAGCATCTTAATTCACATGAAAGACTCATCTTGTTATAATACTTTAATTTATTTAAGAAATACATTTTCCATTTAACTTGTTTTTTATGATGATCTTAAATTTATAATGCCATAAAAAAGGCTATTCTGTTAGAAGTACATCACATAATATTATTATTATTATTATTATATTACTTTCATCTAAGATTTTTATCCATCCATCCATTTTTTTTTATTATAGGATAGGGTGATAAACGAGCACACCGTCTACTTGATGGTAAGTGGTTGCTGTGGCCCATAGACATCTACATCTATCCTCATTTGTGAATCAAAATGCAGATGCGTTGTCACCCGTAAGGACTAAGATGAAATGCCTCTTTTCCAGTAAACAGGGTCTCCGGTTCTCTACACTCACCATACGAAACACAGCAGTATTAAGCTGCTATTGTACACTGGTATTCTGTGAGAGCGTGGTCCTTCCCCAGTCGAGCCGACCCAGTTGTGCTACAACTATACTACTAATATAGCTGCAGCATGGCTATACCATGTCACAATCCATCAACTAAATCCAATAAAAGTCCATTCCTGAACATCGGCGTTCCCCATACAGAGGGGATTTTGCCATAGTTGCCTTTATATTTAGTTGTTATCACAAAGATGCTGCTGCCCATCTCCCGTTTCGTTTTTCCTCTGTCGCCTCTTAAGACACCTACAGGATGATATGGGGTAGTGGATTTTCTTACATCACCACTACATGACGAGAGTTTAAATATTTGTCAAGGGATAGTGAAAATATATTTAAAAATGTAACCAATATTTAGAAAATAACAAATTATTTAATTTCATTAAGTACTTGTAGGCAAGAAGCCACTACACTTGGTATTATCACAGAAGGCAGCTTCAGAATAATTCAAGAGAATTTCAGTTGTATGAGTTCTACAATTCTTGGTGCCTAAAAATCCTTACAGCTGTCTATCCGAGAAGACAAGATTCATTAAGAGAACAAGATTCAACCTTGAGCGCCTGCATTCTCCCCCATTTCTAGAAAAATATATTTTTTGAAAAAAGAAAACCCAGAATGGTCGCCACTAGTAGCGGCGTCCCCACAAGAGGCTTTAAAATCTCGATATCGAGGGCCCACACATATCACAGGCAGAGTTAAATGCAGCTTTTTAAGGCCTGCAAAAAGTTCTAAGGTCCCATGACAAAAACAAAGATCAGGAGCCAGACGGGATGTTTAACCGCATCTGAATTGCGTTTCTCCATGGTTGAGAACCCACTCTGCAGGATATTTTTGATAATTGTCTGGAGACAGGTCAGTTCCCCACAGGGTGGAAGAAGGTATGACTGTTTATTTAAAAAAGGATGAGGGTGGAATCTCTCTCTTTCTACTGACCTTGAGGGAATTACCACCGGTTGCCTCATCGGGGTATCTCAGTGTGAACCTATCACACCAATTTATTGGACGAAGAGTTCTACTGAGTGGGATGTTCAACATTGAATATAATCAATTGAACTGGGATGAGACAAAGCCCTTCCTGAAGTGCTGTCCTTAGATATCACCAACGCTTTTAGATCACTGCCCTGGGTTTTAATTAGGGGAGCATTGAAGTACCATAAAGTGCTTCTCTATCTAAGTTGAATTGTAGAGGACTACCCCTCTGAAAGGTACATCTCAAATTCTGGGTGAGAAGACAGAATGTTAAAGAGGTAAATGTCATGCGGTGTGTCCCACATGCATTTCATCTAGTAGACCACTAACTAATGGGAGCAGCGGTGGCACCTAATGCTGTATCTGGGGCTCCGACACTTCAAGGTCTCATTGAGGATCATGCCTCACCCAAAAAGTGGGAAATGCAGAGAATCCAGGTTCGACAATTTATGCTATAAGAATGGGCTGTGTGCCTGAAAAGCATATTAAGCCTTCAACCTCATATAAACGAAACTAAGGTGACAAACATGGGGGTTTTTAGTTGTACTATTAATAGGCCATCAAGGCAGCGCATACAATAGTGCCATGCACTCCCATGAGATGAAAAGGGACAACTCCAGCTCCACTCACTATACAAGGATATGGGCTACCGCCAACAGGGCTGGAGTGGTGTGTTTAAGTGTATATATTTGTAACTTTATGAAAGTGTAGTAATGATGTAATGAAATAAATCACTAGTGTCAGCAATAAAATCTTTACATATGTCCATTTGTGCACATGTAAAATAAATAAGGCAAAAGTATAGATATGCAGTGCTAATAAAATATTTTACCTGTTCATTTTCAGACTTTCCTTTCTTAGTTACTTTAGCTGGTGGACCATCATCATCATCATCACTGTCATCTGATGATGCTGCTTCTTTAGATTTTTTAGCTGCTTGTTGGGGTTCATCTTCTTCACTACTGTCTTCACTTGAATCCTTTTTGCTAGATTTGTGATTTACTGGTGTTTTTGGAGTGTTTACTAAGGGGTTGACTTTCTTTGGCTCTTCATCTTCACTGCTATCATCTTCAGATGATGATTTTTTTACAGATGCTTTTGCTGGTGTCGTTGTTGCTTGTTTTGACGGTGTTTTTTGGACTATTTTAGAACCTTCTTCTTCACTGCTGTCATCGCTATCATCTGAAGATTCCTTCTTTTTAACAGGTGTTTTTAAAGCCATCTTTGAAGTAGGAGTTTGAACTTTGATGGCTGCATTCTGCTTAGAAGAGCTTGTTTTCTCATCTTCACTGCTATCATCACTGTCTTCAGAAGATGATTTTTGTTTTTTAGCTGGAGTAGATTTTATATTAGGCTTGTTAATACCAGGTTTTAAGATCTGCTTTTGGGAAGATTTCTTTGAATCATCATTGCTGCTATCGCTTTCTTCCGATGACGACTCCTGTTTTTTAGTAACAACTTTTGTGGCTGGTGTAGTTTGAAGTTTAGGTGCTGCTTTGGGCTGCTTTTTGCTGGCATCATCACTGCTATCCTCATCACTATCTTCAGAGGATGATGCTTGCTTTTTAGATGCTTCTAATTTATTTGGCTTTTTGGCTGGAGTTGCTTGTGGTTTTGTAAGAGTTTTCTGAACTGCTTTAGGCTTTCCATCATCACTGTCATCACTGTCATCGTCAGAAGATTCCTGAGATTTAGGTGCTGTTGCTTTTACAGCTGGTTTAGGCAGTCCACCAGGTTTTTGATTTGACTTTTGAATAATCTTAGATTTGTCATCACTACTGTCACTGTCTGATGACTCTTGCTTTTTAATAGTAGCTGCCTTAGTAGCATTGACTGTAGCAGGCTGTGTAGTGACTTTATTTTGAGGTTTTTCATCATCACTATCATCTGAACTGTCATCTGAAGACTCTTGTTTTTTCACAGGAACTGCTTTAACAGGGGGCCTCACTACAGGTTTCTTACTATTATCATCTTCACTGCTATCATCACTATCAGAAGATTCTTTTTTTGTTACAGCATTTTTTCCAGGTGTTGGCTTTGCGGATAGTTCTTTTGGTTTTGCAGTCACCTTTTGTTGTGTTTTAGATTGTTTGTTATCACTGTCATCAGAACTTTCATCTGAAGAATCATTAGCCTTAGTTGGTTTAGTAGGTGGTTTGACAGCTTGTTTTAAAACATTTATTTTATTCTGTGTTTTGGGTTCATCATCGCTGCTGTCATCAGATGATGACTGCTTCTTAATTACTTTTGCTGTAGCATTTGAAGCTGTTGGTTTTACTGGCTGTTTTTTAGGCTTAACTGTAGCATTGTCATCACTACTGTCACTGTCATCAGATGATTCAGGTTTTTTGATAGGTGTTTTAAGGTTTGCAGATGCTTTTACCTGAAAAGCAAAAGCAACATTTAATATAATTTTTTGAAAAAAAGAAGCAAGCATTAAAACAAATATTTTCAATAGTCAGAGGTAGTGACGAATATGAAATATATCATCATTAAATTTCAATTACTATGTTTACATCATTCAATATTCCATAAATAATAAAAATGGGTATTTCCTTCACAAAAACTTACACTAGCTGATTTTACAGGTGGTTTTTCATCTTCAGAACTATCCGAATCTGACGACTCTTTTTTGTTGTTTGTTGATGGTGCCTTACCATTAACTTGAACAGGCTTTTTAGACTTAATTTTTTCATCACTGGAATCAGCAGAAGTAAACTTTATAACACATACAAATTACATTCACTATATGTAACTAAAACAATGTTTCATACCTTTCTGCTTGTTTAACAACATTGGTATTTTTCAGTTTCCTATATTGTACAATAATTTCAGTCAAACTTGGCAACTTTTTAGCGCTCGGTTTCTGAAATTTTATTAAAAAAATATAGCTATATACCCAAATTGATTAAGAATAAGAGGATAAGGTCTAAGAGTATGAAAAATCAGACTGCTCACGACGAAGCTTTGTGGCATTCTTGGCGGAAACCTATGTTCAACAGTGGAATTGTGAAGGGCTGTTGATAATGGAGCAATTACAGTTGTGCCGTGATTAATAAATACATTTCCTAAAGAATACATCCATTCACTTATACTCTAAACACTTAACCCAGAGGAGGCAGACTACGAGTTTTCATTTGGCACGATCCTAACACTCCTACCTCTCCCTCGCTTATTTTCACTTCCAGAAATATGGACCATAAATGACGCATACAAGCTAGTCGGCAATGGGTACTCTGGTCCAACTTCAATAAATCGCCAAATTACACTATATCACGTCTATACACTTCCTTCTTAATATTATAAAACAAATAATTAAAAATAAGGAAATAAGTTTTCCACTAATAAGTTAAATAAATGCACCTTAGTTTTCAAAAGAAAAATACACGTGAGTACACCTTGCTAACACGTGGTTGGATTCACATGGACTTACCGATTTAGCTTTCTTTAAAAATTCTTCGGCTAAGGATTTGTCTATACTTTGAATAAATTTGTGGACAATAGAAATGGCCTCAGCCTGAATATCAGCAGGGACACTCATTTTTAAATTTATATTAATACGGTGACGAAAAATAGCACGCCGCTACAACGTGCCGCTTCTCCTCACCACAGATAAAAGAAAAAGAAAACAAAAGTTTTCTGAATTATCCAGTTAATCAGTGTTGCCACCTTGCAGAAAAATTTATCACTAGTTATGGTCTGAAATTTCACCAGATTTAGGGATATTTTGACTTAATAAATTCCTAGAATTCACCAAACTATTTAAAATCAAATTACATGGTATGTAATAAAAATACTATTTTAGTTGTGGAAATAATTACCATAAACACAACATATAAAATCGAGACGGCCTCCTGGTCACAGTTTCTTCAACGGACAGCCAACGAGTATCACAAGAGCTCAATAATTTTAAAGTATTATCGCCACAATTTAATGTCTCATATATATCTTTGTACTCATCACAGCACTTGGGTGAATGTGAGAACTAATTATAAGTTTCTCTAATAATAAACTCTATATTTCGCGGTAACGTTTGCTCTGACACATGTGAAACAGTGTGAATGAGTGCATCAGTGGCAAACACATCTGACTAGAATTTAATTAGGTACGCATACACCATTATTGATTCCAGTTATGATAGAGGCATCTACCCCGATTCCAATTAAGTTTTTTATTAGGAGGCCTTCTTACATTTCAATATTCATATATCAACCTTTCAGTATTCAACACTCACTGAAACCAATTTTAAAGGTAGGCATAACCAAACAAAGATGTCTAATTACGTTTTTGTAATGTGAAAAAAGGATAGTGCTATTTTGACATAAACTGGGGAATTTACCTACAGGTAAAGAGGGTTGCTAATATGTATTTTCTAAATTCTTCAAGATTTGATAAATATCACTAAAAGTCATCAAATAATTTTTTAGTGATTTTTTTTTCCAGAATATCACTATCTATCTACAAAAATTCACTAAATCTAGTGACAAAATCACTAATGTGGCAACGCTGCCAGTTATGCACTGGGCATGTCGATCTGATATCGATTAATCTAAATACCGATTATTTAGAGTAAACTAATCGATTTCTTAGATTGATTGAAACACTACATCGATTCAAGGAATCAATTCAAAAACCTCCCAAATCAGACTGATTCGAGAACTAGCAATAAAGTTCGCAAACTGGCTGCGGTATCTTGGTTTTTTTTTTTTGCTGTTGCCGTAGGCAATTTGAACGCATAAAATAAATATTTATGGACGCATCCAAAGTTATCCTTACTTACTAGGTAATAAAAAAGTTGTCATTGTCATTTCTAATCTAACCCGTGGACTCCATCATCTGACCTAATATGTGATGTGAATTTACATTATTTATCAAAAATATACTATAAGTAAACTTACAATTTGATTAATTGAATGACTGGCTTACTAAGACTAGATTAGAATTTTGTTTATTTTGTTATACAAATGAACACTAAGATAACCATATTGGCGCCTGGAAAAAGACGTGTAGAAAGCGGTTGGAGTTAATACATTAAGTATAACGTACATTAACGTTTTCTTTTAACTTTGTCGTACGTAATAGCAAGATGTTGTCTGCTTAAAAGTTGTAAAATGTATAATTGCCGAACAGTAAGAACTTGACAATTACTAAAGAGTGTTCTAGTTGGGATTTTATACGGCTTAAAAGTCATAGTTTTAAGTAACGATCTTTGGGCTCTTTCATGCCGCAAAATGTAGGTTTTGCATGTACCACCCCAAACTCTAATACAATAATTTATTACTGTCTGAGCAAGCGCGTAATATACCTACTATGCGAAGATCAAAATCAGCCATAAACCATAGATATTTAAACGCCCAAATTAGCTTCCTCATCCTAGAGGCTTGTAGAACTATATGACTAAGCCAGTTTATTTAGAAGTCTAAAATGACGCCCAAGTATTTAACAGTATCAGATTTATAGACACATATCCGACGCTATAAGTAATATATTTCAATGATATCCCGGACGTCAGTTTGATCGAGATTAGAATGGCTCTCCAGCACCTTAAAAACGGCAAGGCCCCAGGCGAGAATGGAATTACAGTGGAGCTTCTGAAAGCGGGTGGAAAACCGGTACTTAAAGTCCTTCATAAGCTCTTTAATTCCGTCCTCCATGGTGGGATTACACCGGAGGCATGGAGCAGAAGTGCGGTGGTCTTGTTCTTCAAGAGAGGTGACAACGCTCTCTTGAAGTACTACAGACAGATTTCCCTTCTGAGCCGCGTCTGCGTACTGTTTTCGAGAGTCATAACGAATCGTCTCGCACGCAGATTTGACGACTTCCAGCCTCCCGAACAAGCCGGTTTCCGAAAGGGCTTTAGCACCATAGACCACATACATACCCTTCGGCAAATTGTACAGAAGTGCGAGGAGTAAAATTTGCCACTATTTCTGGCGTATGAGGACTATCAGAAAGCCTTTGATTCCGTCGAAATTTGAGCGGTGCTGCAGCCCCTTTAGCGGTGCCAAGTTCGCTGTCAGTATATCGAAGTGTTGAAGTGCTTGTACAGTAGGGCTACGATGGCTATCCGAGTACAGAACCAGAGTACGAAACCTATCCAATTGCAGAGAGGTGTAAGACATGGTGACGTGATATCCCCGAAACTCTTCACCGCTGCATTGGAAGACGTTCTCAAGCTTCTGGACTGGAAAGGATACGGTATTAACATCAATGGCGAGTACATCACTCACCTTCGATTTGCCGACGATATAGTCCTCATAGCAAAATCGCTGGAGGACCTAGGCACTATGCTCAATGACCTCAATAGTGTCCAACGGATAGGTCTTAATATGAACATGGACAAAACAAAGATCATGTTTAATGTTCATGTCACACCTATGCCGGTAGTTGTTGGGAGCACTAAGCTCGAAGTTGTTGACGAGTATGTTTACCTGGGACAAATAGTCCGACTAGGTAAGTCCAACTTTGACCGAGAGGTCAGTCGACGGATTTAGCTCGGTTGGGCAGCGTTCGGGAAATTATAACATATTCTCGTCAGGTATACCTCAGGACTTAAAAACGAGACTGTACAACAAGTGCGTGTTGCCAGTGATGACTTATGGAACTGAGACGTGGTCCTTCACTGCAGGCCGGATGAGGAAGCTCAAGGTTATTCACCGAGCTATGGAGAGGGCTATGCTCAGAGTTTCTCTGCGTGATGAACTTAGAAATGAGGATATCCGCAGTAAAACCAGAGTGACCGACATAGCCCAACGGACTAGTAAGCTGAAGTGGCAATGGGCCGGCCATATAGCTCGAAGAACCGACAACCGATGGGGAAAAAAAGTTCTCGAGTGGCGGCCTCGTACCGGCGGACGAAGTGTAGGGCGTCCACCCACTAGAAGGAGTGACGACCTCGTAATAAATGCAGGAAGTCGATGGATGCAGTGGCTCAGGACCGTGCTTTGAGGCATTCCTTGGGGGAGGCCTATGTTCAGCAGTGGACTTGTGAAGGGCTGTAATAATGATGAGATTTATGGAGCATATGGCATGAACATTGTCAATCTTTCAGTAAGTTACAATTAAGTTAATTTAATATCGTAAGTTAATTTAATATAATAATTAGTAAATTATCATCAATGATTTTCTGTCTCATCAATCTGGTATGTTTGATTTGGATGGAATCGACGATCGATTTTTTTAAAATGAATCCACATGCCTATTATCCGCATTCCTCAGACAGTGTTGCTATTGTAAAAATCTGAGCTGCTGTATGTCACAGTCTGGTTTGACGTATTTCAATGGTATTTACTTAAAGGCGGTTACTGACATGCCTGCCGCAGGGGCAATCTAGGGAGCACAGCGATCGACGCAATATCGGAGCTGTCTCTACACATACGCCTGCCGTTCAGTAATCAGTATGAGAGTGTACGTTCTAGTATATATTACTATACTCTTTGAGTGTACGTCTCGCTGCACGCACGCGTTGAGAATGACGTATAAAAAAGTACTCTGTGGAATGACGCTAGTTTTATCGAAATATCAATGAATCGGTATATATAGCCTTGGCTCTTTTTTTATATACATTAAGGGTGACAAATGAGCACATTCCATCTGATGGTAAGTGGACACTGTGGCCCATAGACACCCACATTTATCAATAAAACAACCAATTAATTAATAATTACAAACATAATATAGTGCTTATAAGCTGCAGCATAGCTCTGCCACGCTATTTTTAGGCTATCAAAGACAATTAAATATGACTAACTTCACTCGTCATAATTTCATATAACCAATTTATTCTGTGATATAACTTAACTAACTAGTAATAATAAATAATAATAATATAATTTATTTTCTCACCACATTAAATTAACAAAATCGATTTTTGACAAAAAAGAAAAAGCACAAAGTAATGTGAGAGACTGATGCCCAAATGAGGCAACGAACAGGTCAGGTCTCCCTCCCAGTTGACAAATACAAAAGTATGTAATCTTAGAATACATATTTTAATAACCATGATACGTTATAATTCATTTACTTGTGGGAAGTATTATTATGAGTAAATATTTAATAAATTTAATTTGATGGATGTTTGTGTGTGTGTGTGTGTGTGTGTGTGTGTGTGTGTGTGTGTGTGTGTGTGTGTGTGTGTGTGTGTGTGTGTGCGTGTGCGTGTGTTTGCGTGTGTGTGTGTGTGTGTGTGTGTGTGCGTGTGAATGTGAAAATTACAACAAATACACAAGTGTTGTAAGGAGATCTTCTGTATATTTATAGTCCCTTTTCAGTAACCATTCATGGACACATTTTTTTGGTTTTATTTTAGGTAGGGCGTGGATATTAAGTTCCTTGTTAACTTTATTATACAGGTATCCGCCAAGATAGCAAAAAAATCTCCTAGAAAAGTAGGTACAATGGTCATAATGAGAGGTACATACCCGGTCTTTGCGTCTCGTGTGCTGTGAATTTTTTTGATCATATTTTAATTGAGCATGTTTTTTTTAGTACCGTGTATATAATAAACAATTGCCGGACTGTAAGAACTTTGGAAATTTTATA